GGTGAAAATACTATTCTGTTTAAATGTTATTGAGTGCGATTTCGCCAAGAGCCCCCCTCCCCAATTAAAACATTCATTTACCCAAAAGCATTTTTGGTGTATTCATAACTTAATTACTGCTTATCGTGGAATCACTTTATTTAGGGTAAATTAATTCGCTTTACAAGTTCAATATATTTGGGGGGGGGGGGATAAATCGGAATTGGTTTAATATTGATAAATATCATTTTCTCTTAAATCTTGTAATGTTAATATATTTTCTTTTCAAATATGATTGCCTTATTTTTTTTTTTCTAAAAACTTTTTCTTTAAAAGTTTATCCAAATATTTAAATGTATGGATAAAATGTACTATAGAAAGACATTTTCTTTTATTTTCATAGGATTTTTTTTATTATTATTATTATTTAAAAACGTAACATGTCTAGGACTTTTTGACATGTTTCACACGATATTAACAGCAAAGTTTAAGCTCTGAATCGTCTTATTTGCAGCCAAAACAATTTTTACAATTTCTCTGGGGGAAAAATCGTATGAAATAATGAAGAGTTTCTCTCTTAAATGTTTGGGTTGAATTTACGTGATTTGAAATATATTTCATTATTCGAATTCAAACTGTACTTTAGAAATTGAACAATTTTATACAAGTCAAAAAACTTTTTTTTTCTACATAGAAATCAGATGACTTTCATATCGACTTTTAACAAATTGTCTCTGTAGTTTATACTGATTATACAATTTACCTTTTATAGGATAGGGGAAATCCTTCTCCTGGAAAGGAAGGGTAGGAATATTGGCTCTAGTGTGAGCCCCTCCCCCCTAAAAGTGGAAATCCTACTCCAGAGACAGATTCCAGGAAAGGTGGCTATTATGTAAATCCCCCTCTTCAATACCGACATATTGGCTTAAGTTGAGAAAAACATAAATATCATATTTCTGATTGAACTTTCAATTCATTGTAGGATGATTACTGATTGTAGCAATCTTTCCAGTTTTAATATTTAAAGCTCCTGTTTTAGTGAGATCGAGTTGTATCTTTCTACGTCAAATTGTGTTACACGTCATGTAAAGATCTCTATGATGAAATCAAATCTGAATGTATTGAAATCTTTGCAACAAGACTTTGATACCTATCTTTCCGAAAAAAAAAAAAAAGAAAATGGATCATTTATGGGATTTACATCAAAACATCAAACAAAATTTGTATATAATTTTTCGTAAATATTCATACAACAGTGTATTTCAGTTTCATATCCAAAAAGAAACACCAAAACCTTGATTACTCGCCAATTGGAGAGAAAAAATCAAGGTCAAATCGCTCGGTTTGCCTGAGGATAGTAAACCCACCACCTAGGTTGTTCGTTAAAGAAGCCACAAGGCTACAAACTGCCCCATTAATATGCAACGATTTTAGAGAAGAGTTTGGTCCAAACCAAAAAACCTCTGACCCCGAGATAACACCTTATTCTGCATTTGTTCCTTTTCCTAAACCATTTAGGATTATGTCAATTCTTTAGAGACACACCCTAGAGAGACTTAACGTTACTTTGAAATGTTAATCTTAATTTCGACTTAAAGATAGGTTCAAACTTTTTCACGTAGCAAATGTCTGCTTTCTCATGCAGTTACTGCCAGGCTGGTTTTGAGTTAGCTCAGTACGCGGGTACTTTAGTTTTGTACCCTTGACATTTCTTCTGACCTTCTGCATTCATTGGCAATTATCCATGTCCTTTCAACATACGATACACATTTCTAGATGCTAACATAGGAAGAATGAATTTCTTCATGATCGACCATTAATTCTTACAACCAAAAAACCAGAAGTCTCTGACGAGACTGTAGCTCTACTGGTTGTATTTATAAAGGAAGATAAAAGTAGCACTTTGACTTGAAACTTTGCAACAGCAATAAACAGAATAATGATCCTTGGTTTAGTCTCTTTTGTAGCAAGATTTATTTTTATATCAGACTTAAACTGTAGGAGGAGTAGCCTTTTAAAACAATTCTACAGAAATTTTGATTTAAGTAACCATGGCAACATCACTCAACAAAATCAAAAAACAATAACACAAATTATGTATCTCTGTAGTCTACTTGTATGCCACATTATACTGAAATCAGACAAAAAGTGTAGGAGTAGCGTTTTGAAAGTATTTCAAGAAAATTTCTACTTTTAGTAACCATGGCAACACTGTTCATTGAAATCGAAAACTGGTACAGAGAATTATGTATCTTAGTGTAGTCTAATTGTGTGCTAAGTTATACTAAAATTAGACCAAAACTGTAGGGGTAGCATTTTGAAGGTATTTCAAGGAAATTTCTATTTTTAGTAACCATGGCAACAATGTTCATCGAAATCAGAAAATCAATATAAAGAATTATGTATCTTAGTGTAGTCTACTTGTTTGCCAAGTTATACTGAAAATCAGACCAAAAATGTAAGAGGAGTAGCATTTTGAAAGTATTTCACAGAAATTTCTATTTTTAACCATGGCAACACCGTTTATTGAAATCAAAAACCCATACAAAGAATTATGTATCTTATTATAGTCTACTTGTGTGCCAAGTAATATTGAAATCAGATAAAAACTGTAGGAGGAGTAGCATTTTGAAAGTATTTCATAGAAATTTGTATTTTTAGTAACCATGGCAACATCGTTCATCGAAATCAAAAACCGATACACAGAATTACGCATCTTAGTATAGTCTACTTGTGTGCCAAGTTATATTGAAATCAGATCAACACTGTAGGAGGAGTAGCATTTTGAAAGTATTTCACAGAAATTTCTATTTTTAGTAACCATGGCAACACCGTTCATCGAAATCAATAACTGATACACAGAATTATGTATCTTAGTGTAGTCTACTTGCGCGCCAAGTTATATTGAAATCAGATCAAAACTGTAGGAGGAGTAGCATTTTGAATGTTTTTCACAGAAATTTCTATTTTTAGTAACCATGGCAACACCGTTCATCGAAATCAAAAACCGATACACAGAATTATGTATCTTAGTGTAGTCTACTTGTGTGCCAAGTTATATTGAAATCAGATTAAAACTGTAGGAGGAGTAGCATTTTGAATTTTTTTCACAGAAATTTCTATTTTTAGTAACCATGGCAACACCGTTCATTGAAATCAAAAACCGATACACAGAATTATGTATCTTAGTGTAGTCTACTTGTGTGCCAAGTTATACTGAAATCAGACCAAAACTGTAGGAGGAGTAGCATTTTGAAAAATTGTTTACAGACGGACAGACAGACAGACAGGCAGACAGACGGACGGACGACGGACACCTTACTATCGCATAAGCTCTTCTGGTCTCTGACCAGTAGAGCTAACAAGATTTTGACTATAAATTAGGAAATACATGTATTTTTTTTGGTTTGTTTTTTAATGTCCCTTCGAGAATTTTTCACTCATATTGAGACGCCACCACTATCCGGTGGAGGGCTGTAAATTTGGACCTGGGGCCTGTTTTACAAAAGAACTTACGACGAAGACCAAAAACTTTAGTGGATTGTAAATTCCTGCAAAATTAATAATTCTGTTTCAAATTGCCAGCGTAAAAAATATCTTTCTACATTCCATTTAAAAATTTTAAAATCATTTTCAATTTAATGTAAATTAGAAATTTATAATAAGAATTAAATTTCAATATGAATCTGTTTTAAGTTCTTTTGCAAAACAGGTCCCTGTACTCGGCACTTAGGATATATTGAAGATTTGGTTCATAACAGAGGGAGAACTTTGGCGAAAAGAATCATGACGTCATAGTGGCTATAAACAAAACACAACGTTCCAATCAAGATGTCACGTAGGAAAGGATCGTCAATAAAGCGACTTTTCTGTTCGCGAAGGGGACAAGATGAGGGGGATGTCTATGGTAAGGATTTGTCAGCTAACAATGAGAAAGTACAAACAGAAACTGAACTCCTCAAAGCAATGGTGGAGAATTTCGAAGGCAAGCTGGATCGTCTGTTAATGTCCAGCGATAGAGAGCGTCAACTAACCGACCTTATCAAAGAGAAAGGCGAAGGACTACAAGCAGAGAACGGCAATCTGAAACAAGAGAACAAGCGACTTGACGCAATCAATCGTGAATCAGAAAAGCAGTTGGTTTTAGCGGAGAGTAATTACAGGGCACTTACCACCAAACATTCGTTTGCAACAGAAATGTTAGAAATGCTGAATAAAAGAGTTAAAGATCTGACAGAAATCATTGATAAACACAAGGAAGAGAAAGCGGATCTGCAGGGAGAGCTGAAAGTTCTGAAAGACACGACCAACAGCCTGAAGTCGCAGCTAGCGATGCTGGACGATGGCAAAGTCGTGTGTGAATCCCAACAAGAGGAGCTCATCAGAGAAAAGCGACAGTTGCAGACACTGCTGGTCAAACAAAACGAAGTAAACCAAAACAGACTGCGCTCGGCGTGGATGCGCTTCCATCAGATGAAGGAAGAACGTGACGAGCTGGCTGCACAATTTTCTGCACAATCTTCTCGAACACGCACGCCCCAATTCATGGCGGCACTACCAGATACGAGTAAATTGGACCATGGCAGCAATATCGTGTCAGGAAAATCACCAGAACAAGTGATATTTGAAACCAGAATAATGAAGTTGGAGATGACACTGTTTCGTAGAAGTAAACTGATAGAAATTCTGACAGAGAGACTTAAGACCCATATCCCAGAATTCTCTTTGTTCCACGACCCCGAGGTAGCGGCATATATCGACGATGAGCTGATGCGAGATGTCCAGTTTTCAGACTGGGATATTGACTCCCAGGTCAGCTCCGACTCACAGTTAACACTGTAAATAAGCGACTCAAATAAAATATCAAAATATTAACATAGTCTTATCAAAGAGACAATTAATTAATGAACCAGATCCTGTTACAACTCCCGCCGACCTGTTTCAAAATAATAGCGTGGCACACATACCTTTTCTCTTTTATTTCCTTTTTTATATAATAAAAACATGCATTTCAAATTTTCAATGCATTAACTAAAGAATAAACTTTGATTTATGTCATTAAACTGTTTTAAGTATTTCAAACGGTTTACATTAAACAGCTGTTAAAGAAAACATCAAACATCTGTTTCCAAAAAAATATCATCCAATTACATGTATATCACAAAACAGATGTTTTCAGTAAAATGCAAGAATTTGCCGTCTATGCACCTATTGAACGGGAGATTGATGATTTCACACTTCCAATCCGATCCTAGCTATATCTGAGTGATCGCTTGTCATGGTCCTGTTATAACGGTTTGACGAGGTCCGGAGCCTGGGCCAGCAGAGCGTCCTGTATAGCGCTGGTCAGTCCCTTCAGTCTGGACAGCCCCTCCAACAGCTCACCAGCCCCGTCTCTGAAACGAACGGATGTTTTTTTACTATCTGTCTTAAGAAAGGTTCGGCGGTGTTGTCACATATCTTCTATACTACAAGTTTTAGATAAACATCCAATAAATGTGTTTATCTCGGCTGAGATTCGTCACTCCAAATATCCAGTCAAGCCGAATCTCAGCTGAGATTAGTTCAATACCAGTTTATTGTTCCAGAACTAACAATTCGTCAAGTAAATGTATTATATTAAATGCAATACCGTGATGTCTAATATCCAAATGTTGTCACCGTGAAACGATAATTTGAAAAAAGATGGTCACTAAATATTACTAGATATTCACACTACTATGTAATATAGTAAACCTAATCAAATAGGAAGTAACATTGATTCTAGTTGAATATGAGATATTGATTTGAACTGATGAGAGACCCTCCCCCCTCCAAAAAACAAAAAAAGAGGAAAAAACAAAGCAAAAACAAAAACAAACAAACAAAAAAAACAAAACAACAAAAACATTTGAGCAGAACCAAAATATTTTGATTACTGGCACCCTTCACTATATATTACGAAAGCTCATTGAGCTCATATATAACGCGTAACCTTCACGAATAAACGCGAAACTTTCGCGTTATAACGCGTAACTTTCGCGAATAAACGCGAAACTTTCACATTATAACGCGAAATTATAAAGTCATGTTACCCAAGAACCTGTGATCTTGACTGACAGATAAGAATCATGAACGCAGACGGGGACTTCTGTGAATTTATAAATGACATTTCTTCAGAAGATCTAAAAGAGAATTGATGCGAGAAATGGATAGATTACTGTTGAGAAATTTGCATTTAATCTCAAAACCTTACTAATTAATAAAATGAATATTCCTTTAAAGATTTTCTTTTTTTCACTTCTTGAATCCAGGAAATTCTTTAGACTGATTTTTTTTTCATGAAGATCTCCACTGTCACTTTCCTTTTTTATCATTAAAGTTCACTATAACTTTACCACTAGTAAAGAAATCCATCATTTTAGACTAGAAATTACACACTGTAGAAATCTGACTTAAAAGTGAGGGAACAATGTAACTATCATTTCATGAGCTTAACGTGCCATATGATGCTTTTTAAAGAATAATTATAATAGGATATACTGTTAATCACAAATTTACCGGGCAGGAATAAATTGTCGATGTTTTCGTGAGTAATGGTATGAACACGTGGTACAATCTTAAAATACGATGTTGTATTATCGGAGACAAATCATTTGATAGGAATATTTGTCATCCAATTTTCACATTAGGTTACTCGTGTGATGTGACACAATTATTGTAAAATATACAAATTTACCTCATTTTTGTCAATTTTCTGAGATCTTAATTCTATATAGAGATTTTTAAAAATGACGCCGGAAAGGGGGGGGGTCATTTGAATCCGAAATTCATAATTATAAAATTTCACTTTGGAAAAACTCGCATAGACTTTGAAAATGTTTGAACAGCGTTGAGAAAGACAAAATGTGACGGCAAAAAAGATTTAGAAAGAGGAAAGATACATTCAATGGCGAGAAAACGTAAAATTTCAGCTTGTGATAATATCCAAGTTCAAAATATTCTTTCGTTTTTCATTGTAATAAATAAAGTAGATCACCAGATTAAAAGAAAATGGAGACTTATGCAAATGTCTCTGTTTTACAGAAAAAATTCGCGTTATAACGGGAAAGTTACACATCTATTCGCGAAAGTTACGCGTTATAACACGAAAGTTTCGCGTTCTAACGCAAAAAGTATTTTCTTTTCTTCTTCTTTTTTTTTTTTTACCTACGAAAATAAGCTCAATGGGCTTTCGTAAGATATTGACTACCCTTCTATCCTCTAGAAAAAATAATTCCTGGATGCGTTTATGTTTGGTTAAAAGTGCCTCCCACCTATAAACATCCCTCCCCCTTTTTCTAACAAAAGAAGATAAACTTTATAGATAGTGACAAGCAGTTGCAACTTCCCAGGTCTTTCCAACAAGCAGAAAAACGTTTTTCTGAGCTCTGCCTGGTAAGGCTTGAGAAGATGCAATTGTTGTGACAAATTCAGAAGTAACAAATATTAGAAAATAAACTTTGGTAATTAATTCCCATTTAGAAAGAAAGCATTTGCGCACAAGCTTCAGAAGAAGTTAAGAGAAGAAAAGCAGGCATCAGAAAACATTTGAACAGTTCAGGTACGTACCTGAGAAGCTCACTGCAAGTGTCAGTGGGGTTGATAGACATCACATTAAAGATAGCTCTCATTGCATGCATCTTAACATGGCTGTTAGGGGACTTCAAACATTTGAATATTATCACTGGCAACATGTTTTTCTGAAAGATAACGTCAGGCTAGGTAATCTTTTTTTTCTAAAACAATTTTTCATCCTAAGCGAAGTGTTGAAAGAATCTTACAATCTTGCTGGCATTTTGCTGGAACCTGGCAAAGTTTGCTAGTCCTCTGGCTGTATGACTCTGTAAGTCGGGGTTGGTATCATCTCTTTTTAGTAACTCTCCCAGTCCATCTAATAAATCTTGTAAACCTCCCTAAAAGGATTGATTTTTACAGAAAACATGCACATACATATTTCAAAACTTTTTTTCATTATTAAATAAAAATCTACATGTACCTTACAATGATAGTGGTATTAAGTGAGTGACTAGCAAACTTTATTTTAACATAGTTTTAACGTTTTCACAAACAAAAAACTTTCTTTCTTTACTAAGGTCATAGATTTCTGAATGAGCAAAGAAAACATATGAGTGCACCAATCAAAGGGAAACAATGCTGAAGAGATAATCTGAGTAAGGGGAATGATACCTGGTCTTCACTACTTGTAGCCAGGTTAGCTATGAGACAGGCAGCATTACAGAGCACCTGCTTGTTTTTGGGATTTCCTCTGATGGCTTTCTGTATGGAACGGCCAGCAGTGAAGTCCTCCTAACCAATCAAAATACATCATAGCACACAAGAGTTAATAACCTTTACTACATAATAACATTGAATTGCCTTCTCTCTAGAATCAGACATTTTTTTTTACTAATAACTCCATATTTATCAAGAGAGGGAAGTACTTACCTGTACAATCCTATGCTTCTGCCAGTTTGAACCCAAAGAAAGGAAACAAATGGTTTTCAATGCAACTTCCTGCATCTGTTGATGTATAGTATGAAACTTAAATTATTCCTTGCTTTTGGAATCCATGAATGTTTGACAACTAATAGCAAATAATAAGACACTTAAAAGGGTTGTTAATTATAAATTTTCTAAAATAAACAACAAAACATTAAGTGAATATTGCTTATTTTAATGTAACAACTGATTTGTATATCAGTATCAGTATCAAGCATCAGTAAAACATGCCCGTAAATGTTAGAAAATAAAAAAAAAGTGATCTGGAACCAAAAAACCTGTAGAATATTAAATCCAATTATTGCAGCATAGAGTCCTTTAAAAGAAGGAAAAAGAGAGAAAATGACCCTTTGCAATATTAAATCAAGCCAAATTAAAACACTTCATGAACTACCATATACTGTAATGGAAATTTTAGCAATCATCTTAATTTGGAGTTATTAAAGATGATCTTGGAAAGGCTAACAATTAAATATTATTCATCATTCAATCACAGATTATCTCGAAAAATCGAGTTATTGTGAAAACCACTACAATTAAAGAGACACAGTAAATCATAATCATATTTTTCTATTTTACTCTATTTTTTTGTCAATATTCCCATTTTTGTGTCACTGTGTCTCTTTAAATTATGCTTATTTATAATAATAAATGCCAATTTTAAGGATGGAATCACATTTGCTGATTGCTAAAATTACCCATTATAATGGTGTTACTAGTGATTAAACCAATGGAAAAATGACACTGTAAGCTCAAACTAAAATAGGAAATTGAGGAAAATTAGAAGCAAATATTTTTGTAAAACACAACGATTCTGTTCACCTTCTGTGCTGATCATTGTTACGCTGGATTCACTGGAAATATATGGATTATAAATTTTACACATCTCTAAAATGATTTGTTGGGATCTTTAATCAACTGTGCATACTAAGGAACATAAAGGTTGGAATGAAGTTATAAATCCATTGCTTGATTATTAGCAGCCACTATTATTTAGTTTAGTAAATGTTTATTAAGGGGATGGTATATAATTATGCTCACCTGTTCATCTTGTGAGCCAGCCAGGGAACATACAGAAGTTAAAACGTTGAGTGGACTCTCTAGGATTTTGTTGTGCGTACTTGTATCCTCTGCTATCAGACTGAGCGTGCTCACTGCTACAAGTGAGACGGCATTACAGTCAGACGTACAGCTCAATCGCAGGACTGGTTCCAGGGCGCCATCCTCTAGAGCTGTGAAAAGAGAAATGAAAATTAAAGGAAAAATGACTACCAAAATTTCTTTTCTAACTTCCATCTGATCAAAGTATTAGCAGACACTTAAGATGTGAAATTGTACTTGATTTTCTATTTAACAGGTATACTATCAGCATTTTTTCTAAAAGTTGAAATGTTATTTAATTCTAAAAATGTGTACATAGAACACATCAAAGTCAAGTTTGCTTTTGCATGTATAAGCAAACAAACCACTAAAATTTTATTGAACAGCTTTGTTAATGAACAGCTTTGTTAATGAACAACTCAGTTAATGAACAGCTCATTTACTGACCAGTTCTATTATCAAAAAGGTTCATTTATGAACAGTGCTTTCATGAAAAAATCAGTTGATGATCAGCTCTGTTAATAAACAGAGCTGTTCATTGCTTTCAGTAACAGCTCAGTTATTGATCAGCTGTGTTAATGAAAAGCTCAGTTAATGAACAGCTCCATTAAGGACCAGCTGCTATCATGAACAGCTGCTTTCAATAACGGCTCAGTTATTGATCATCTGTGTTAATGAACAGATCAGTTAATGAGCAGCTCAGACATGTACATTTGTAGTCAAGAACAGGTTTCATTTCAACAACCCATGACCAAAAGAGATCCCAATACTCAATGTTTAAAGTACAGGTAACTTATGAAATCTTAACAGATGTGGAGAGATTCTTTAGATACCTTTACTCTTCAGATCAGGGAGTCTACAGAAGATTTTCAGTGTGCTGATCCCCTCCACTAGGGTCTGCTCAAAGGACATAGCCGTCTTTGACAGTATGCTGCAATAGCACTATAATTTAAAGCACATGTACACTGAAACACAGACAACACCTAGTGGTGGCTAATTCTCCATTCCCATTGCATCCACAGATAAAAGAGTTCAAAAATCCTTAAGTACATATTCTACATCATCTATTTACTTTTAATAAAAAGTTTCAACTCTTAATATTATTTAATAATAGAGAGCTTAAAATTTATCTTTAGTACATCATGTACAAAATAACAAAATGTGGAAGTATTTCCTGGTAAGGTGAAATAAAAAAAATGTTTGTTTACGGTTACATGCTGAAATTTAATAGGGTCGGTAGGTAGGATTTTTTTTTTTATTCAATTGATTTTTTTATACACAAATTCACATGAATTGGTTGAAATACAAAACAGTTTTACCATTGTGTGGTGCTTTTCTTTTGTTTGGGCTTGCCATATGGGCGATGGACACGAATACATTGATGTAAATAGTAAACACGCCATTTTGTTTCTAGTACTTTCGATTTCAATTTCAAACGCTTGACCATATTTTTCAGACTTTTACGATGAAAAAAAAATTTGGGTCGGCAATTAAATATAGGGTCGGTCGGGTTACCTTAACAAACATATTTTTTTTATTACGTCTAATATTTGTTCAGTGAGTATGCTTAGCATTCCTACCTACAGATGGCTTTGATTGCTCCAGCATCTGCCAGGTATCTGTGAAGCGGTTGATGGGTGGACAGGATCTGAAGACCAGTGATAACCTTACCCTACAGAAAAATAAAGGCAAACAACTCCAGAGAGTCGTATTAGAAGACAATATATGAAATTAAAAAAAGATAAAAAATAAACTACCTTTATCGGTATTAAGAAATTTACATGTAGGCAGTATATGTTAAGGAATTAAATAAGATTTTGATACGTTAAGGAATTATTAAAGAATTAAGATATTTTGTTAACTTAAATACCTGTATAACAGGAATATCACTCTTTGCTAACATTATTAATGCCTGAACACCACCAAGTTCAACAACCTGAAATACAAGAATTCAAAACCTTTGTCAATCTAAAGTTATGAATATAAATAATACTTGGCATTGCATAACATTTTCTGCATTGATAAGATACAGAATGATTATAAGATTTTGTATGTATGGTTATATAATGTGAGATGTGATGAACCAAAGACATACCTTACAGAGTCCTGTGATTTCTCCACATTGATTCACAAGGTTAACTGCAGCTTCTGATTTAAAATTCTACAAATATATGTCTGCACATGTAAATAACATGGTGGTAGAATATTTACCACATCATGTTACTGGCAATTCCTGAAGCTGTGCATTTTTTTTCCCAGAATTAAGTTGTTAAGTAAAGATCAAAATATAGAAACCAACTAATTACAAATACTAAATATGCTAAAATGTGCATCATTCCCTCTCAGAAATGATTAGAAAAGAAATAACCTGTTAAACAGTGCTACATAATGTCTTATAAATGAGATATATAAATATCTCTAAAAATGATCATGTGACCAGGAGTTGGGAATGTGCTTAAAGTGGACAGGTACCTGTAGAGGGGAGAGTGACTTTGTGATGTACTCTGTCACAGGACGACAAGACTCACACACTCTCTCTGGATCCTCCAAACCGAGCTGTGGTAGTGGAATCTGTGAAAACAATCTTTATAAGGAAATCCAAGTTCCCAAAATCAATATAATTCATAAACATACAATAGAAAGCATTGCTACCTTATATATGCTGATTTTTAACGCAAAAAGTTATAACTATACTGTAACTCAATTCAGCATATTACATGTACTACATGTACATGTATACTAATCATTTCGTCTGAAGGTTCAAAATAAAACATCTCAAATAATGATGGTTGCAGCGGAAAAACAAGAATTTTTCAAATATTTCATAAACTACATTATATGACCATAAGTGAGTCATAATTTAATTTTTCACACTAAAACCAACTGTTATAAAAACTTATTGTGGGGTCATTTGAGCCAAATATCCATGATTTTTTCACTTTTAAATTATGCAGAATTGTTCAAATTTTTAAGGTATTCCATCCCTAATAGGGCCTAATTCTCTCTCCTAAAATATTCACAAGTTATAAATAAGACTCTGATATTCATGAAAAGCATTTTAGAATAGGAAAGGATTAACCAAGAAAATTTTTCAAAAATAATTACATAAGCAGTAATTAATCAACAAAGATTGCATTGAGATCTATGAGACACATGAAATTTTTAAAAATATAAATTCAAATACAAAAAATATCAATAAATGCTGTGGTGGAAAGATGTATTTAACTATTGAGAATGGAATAACAATTGAAAATAATTGTTTTACTAGATAGATTTTTTTAAATTGATTTTTATTGATTAAAAGCAGAGGGAGATAGCTCTTCAAGGATAGATCAAGTTCATAAATAAGGACACATTCTACTCTTACATACTGATATTAATAAATTGTGTCTTACTATACTGAGTATTCAACCCTTACATATCTGTTATATATTCAAGTTCATTGAATCTAAGGTTGTTAGGGATGGAACACCTTAGCTGCTAAGCATAATGATACACTCATGGCTGATCATTGAGAATAATTTATGAAATCATAAAGGCAAAATTTCTAACTTCAAATTACAATGATTTCTTAACCAATTGAGTCATAACATTTCCAGTTTGCTGTTCTTGAGAAGATTTAAATTTTTTTTTTCACTACTTTATTCCCATGTTAAATTTTTGATCCCCTGTTGGAGCCCATCCTATCCCTGGGGCCATGATTTGAACAAACTTGAATTTGCACTGATAGTACCTGAGGATTAATTTCAATTATCAGGGCCCTGCTGTTCTTGAGAAAAAGATTTTTACACATATTGTTTATCTATTCACATGTAAAACTTTGATCGCCCATTGTGGCCCCACCCTACCCCTGGGAGTCATGATTTGAACAAACATGAATCAAAACTACCAGAGGAAGCGTTCTATATAAATATGACTAATTATGGCTTTGCTGTAGCCCTTTTCACAAAAAATCTTACGACATATTTTTATCTTAAGTCAAAACTTACGATAAAAATCATTTTCACAAAAATTCTTAAGAAAGTCGTAAGTGCAAAATCTGTCGTAACTTTACGAGAGCCCCAACCCTCTCTTAAGTATTTTAAAACCAATTTTATTGTAAAAATATAACCGCAAAAACCAAAATACACGTTAAATTGAACTTTTTGAAGCAACTTCCAATAATATTATATATTTTTTTCACAATCATTGTCGAAAAATTAAATGAAATCACTTCAAAATATTTATGATGTAAGTTTCACTTAAGATTTTCGTATGACCTACTTTTACGTCAGACTGGTGATTGTGACGTCAGATTTCAAACTTCCTTGCTTCACAAACGATTGCATTCGATATTTGTTGTTAATAATGTTTGTTATGCTTACAGATGTTGAAAACTAAGTTTTATTTTTATTTTCACCCACTTAGTTAAGGATTATAAAGCATATTTAAGTCGTTGCTAGGGATGAAGTCTGTCGTAAGTAAAATCTTAAGTTGAATCCGCTACGAATGCGTTCGTGAAACGCACTTAAGATTTGTCGTAAGAGATTCCTAAGTTAAAATCTTACGCAAAAACTTAAGATTTTTTGTGAAAAGGGCTACTGTTCTTCATCAGAAGATTTATAAAGATTTTTCCTATATATATTCCTATGTATTGTGGCCCCACCTATCCCGGGGGGTCATGATCTGAACAAACTGGAATCGTCACTATGCTAGGAAGCTTTCATATAAGTATAATCTTTTCTGGCTAAGTGGTTCTTGAAAAGAAGATCTTTAAATGACCATCTACCAAATTTTCACTATTTCTTAATTATCTCCCCTTGAAAAAAGGTGTGGACATTTATTTGAAAAAATTTGAATCCCCTTCACCAGATGATGCTCATTGTAGCAAGTTTGGTTGAAGTTGGCCAAGTATAGTTCCGGAGAAGAGTCAAAAATGTGAAAAGTTTACAGATGCCGGATGACACACAACTGATAGAGGGACAGACAAACAGACGCTGGACACTCATCTATGAGAAAAGCTCACTTGAGCCTTTGGTTCAGCTGAGCCAACAATTGCAAGGCAGACAGTTACAAACTTTACCTTAAGTTTTGTCAAGTTCATATGGAAGAATGAACATGTACAATTTAAATTCATCAAAGATATTCCAAAAAATAATTACTGCAAGGAAAACAGTTTCAAACAAACTAACTTAAGTTTGGTTAAGTTCATGGAGGATGAATACTAATTATTACCTTTTCATTACAGCACTTGCTGCAAAAAACATTTCCACATTGGCGGCAGTGATGCTTTCTCCTCAACTGATTGAACTTGTTTTTACACCACTGACAAGTAGACACCTCATCATCCGATATCCATCTAGAAATAAAAAAAACATTTTCAAACAAACTTTCATCTGAATGACTTCTTTTTATTTCCAGGTCACTTGCCAGGCATGAGAGAAACTGAAAGTAGGATATGATCTTCTGCATTGTACCTGTTTTTCAAAAGTGTAAAATTCGTCGAAGTAAATACATCAGTTAAACCTTGGACGACTGCCGGAGTAATCAGCCTTCCCTCAAGTTTCACTGATGTCATTATATCATTCTATGCAAAATATCAGATCATTTTTTTTAAACACAATCATCAGCTCCGCCCATCTGTTCGACTTCCGATCCCGATTTTTGAAATATATTATCTTCAAATGACCTATTCATAGATTCTTTCTATTCCATATTATATTTATAAAAATATCTACATATGACTTATCTTCCTTCGAATAAAAAAAAACCCAAACAATATTTTGGATGCTCAAATCATTTGTCAACATTTTGTTTTTTATTGATTCTGAGTTCGTTGTTCATTTAATTAAAACCCCATTGTGCGGGAAAAATGATTGTGATCATTGATGATCACAAATCACAGGTGTATGCAAAGTAGTTTTAGGGCAACGATAATGAAGTAATGGACAACGACTTAGATCTTTCTTCCCTTGTGGAAAAAACTCGCAACATAAACGTTCCTATTGGTCACATAATTGCTTCTCAGAAGTGGAGGAATTCGGAACTGCATCACAGTTTACAAAGTAAGACATATCCCATGCATACATGTATGACTTATCATGATAGGAATAGATGCCGAATTTCTTTTCAAAGGTAAAGTTACAGATTTATGGCTCTCTAAGTCTTTACCATTTTGAGCGGGTTCCGTGTTTCCTATGGAAAGGGGGGGGGGGTCCAAACTATGGGTAGGTCAGTTTTAATACCTGAAAAATCGAGAGGGGTTCGGACCCCCACCCCCACCCATACGTCTGCGGATGTAAACCCGACCATGGGTGGCAGAAAGGGTGAAAAAAGACCTTAATTCATTAAGAATTAATTTTGAAGGAAAAAAACACAAACAAACAGCTTAAATCAAGATCAACAGACTCATCACTAAAATCAACAGACTTGGTTGCAAAATGAATGATCGCTTTAATTTCACTTTTCAAGATATTTTGATCAAAATTTCATACAACGATACACATTAATAAGATTACATGTAAACATCATCATAGTTATAAAGTGGTTGTAACAACTTAACATAAACCTATTGGTAAGGCCACTGGTATGGACAAAGAACCTTTTAAGTGGTACTTTGACTGATATGATAAATGATTGTTTTTGTAGGTTATGTACAGGTCCTGTTTGAAGATGATCTTGGAGTTGTAGACTTTTTTCCTTCCAGTAGACTAGGTGTGGTCTACCTCACTGAACCAGACTTAGTGGCATTCTCAGGCCAAAAGAAAAAGTTAGCCAAGCTGAGAAAGGTTAGAAATCACATGTAAAGAAAAGGTAGTCCAGGGGCTCTAACCACCTCTTTTTGGAGACTATGGTCAATGCAATAGTCCATGTCCTAATGCCTAAAATTATCCTGCTTTAAAATGAACATTGCTTTTCAGTGATAGCATACACAGACTTCACAGGAATTTCTTACGGTCAAGAAATTATTTACTTTAGCAAACATAGACTGCTTGCTAGCATTTCCACCAAATTTATATTCACGTATTTTTTGCTATAAATCTTGCTGTAATCATACATCGACTTGCAGCAGGGATTTATCAGTACCTTCTCAGGGGCCAAAATTCGGCCCCATTCCCAATTGAAAATGAGTTCAGTTTTTCCCAATTTGGCAGTGTTTTTTCCCAATGCTTTTATAATTAATTATCTTGGAAAAACACAAAGTAAAATTGTCAGATTATCTGTAAGTTTCATCTAATTAACTCATTTAGCAAAGCTACAGTCGTAACACATGTTTAAAACACTGTAAAAACATCGCCAACTTTTAATCCAAATTCTCTCCATTTTTCTGAAAATGGTGATATTGTGTAAATACATGGGGATGTAAATTTGTGGAAAAGGTGACCCACAAAATCCATGAATATTGGTCCCCCATGAACAATGATGATATCACAGTAAAGTAGTTGCTAGTTAGAGCTCTGGCCTATAGAATGTTTTGAGAGTAAAAGTTGTCTTAATAGAAATTAAAATTCATCAAAACTAATAAAGTCTCGAAAATATATGTTGGAAAATATTTCCATTCATGTTCATCAACCTGTTATCACCTCTGACAATCTATGAATGATATAAATCAAAATCAATGCTCCAGGTTTGAACCAAGTAACAATCAGATTCTATAGGAATTTTACTTGTTTTTGATTTTATGTAAAATGAGGGGTCAAATTTGGCCCCTAAATGTCTCTTGTCCTTTGTTGAATACTGTTCACTTCTTTCTGTATTCTGTTAGATTAGAAGGTAAATCCTGGAACTGATATTACAATTTGGAAAATGTCAGTTAAATTAACATGATTAATCTTGGATTATTTGAATAATACATCAATTTTTAAGATATAGATTGGCAAGATTTTGCATACACAGGGTTTACTTGCATCTTATGGACACTTCTATTGTGTTTTTTAACAATTTGATTTTTTACTTTAGTGAAAGAAGAATTTTGTTTTTAGAACATTAGAAATGCAGTTGTTACCCTGCAAATATTAATATTCATAACTTCTGCTATTTCAATGAAGTAAAGATTGTGAAATAAAGTTACTCCGATGTGAACTGATTTGATTAAAGGCTGACCGTGTTCAGGCAGTGGTGCTCGCAGAGAAGACTTCCACCAGTGGTCAGTATTACCCAGATGTCCAGAAGTTCTGTCTCATGGATCTAGGCTTCACCATCATTCCTGTACCAACTCAAAAAGAGGCAGCTTCAATACTATCGCAGATGGTAAGTCAAAACAAGGCAGCTTCCATACTGTCACAAATGGTAAGTCAAAAAGAGGCAACTTCAATGCTGTCACAAATGGTAAGTCAAAAGGGGCAGCTTCAATGCTGTCACAAATGGTAAGTCAAAAAGGGGCAGCTTCAATGCTGTCACAAATGGTAAGTCAAACCAGGCATCTTCTATACTGTCTTAAATGGTAAGTCCAAATTTCTACTAAATAGTTAATAGTGATTCAGATTACTGATTGTTGTCGGGGTTTTTTTTGTCATTGGTAAAAACTTTGCACCATAATTTTTGAATGTAAAAAAGACATTAACCTTTTCTTGAAATCTCTTGGCCAAATTTTGCAAACTTGTCTCAAAGCACCCTTGCATAAAGGTGATTCTCATTTATTTAAATAAAGGAACAAGCCCCTTCCCAAAAGAAGAAAATCAGAGGATAAAGAGAACATTGCAGTGTATTCATTTAGAAATATTCCTCTCTAGAACAATTTGTATAGAATGATAAATGATATGTAGAGGATTCCTTTTAAATGGAGATTTGAGTTGGTAACATGATAGTATATGCTGTCTTATGGCCATAGCAAGCATCTTCTTGTAGATTTATGTTTATTTAAATTATGGCCCCAGTTCAGGGATGGGACATAACAATGTTTTAACTTAAATCACAATATAAATGCTTAAAAAAAAATCTCAAAAAATTTCTTGCAAGACCAGCAATACTATAGATTGTTGCTTTACTTATGTACTGTAAAAAATTGTTCAAATCATATCCTTTTGGATATCATTAAAGTTTTTCTATACCTGAGGATGTTTCTTCAAATGTATTGCATTATACTCAACATGTGTTAAGGTATACTCAACATGTGTCAAGGTATCCTCAACATGTGTCAAGGTATACTCAACATGTGTCAAGGTATACTCAACATGTGTCAAGGTACATGGACCTGTCATAAAACCTGCATTAGCTTGTGCGTTACTTGTTTATTGTTTAGGGAGGAACTGTTAATTAATTACAAGCATATATAAATTTAAGGATGTGTATGACATTCAGGATGTTGTCATTGGTTGCAGTTTTGTTTTTAGCTCACCTCGACGAAGTCGAGATGAGCTTATGCTATACCCCTGGTGTCGGTGTCGGCGTTAGCGTCGGCGTCCCGGTTCAAGTCCATTCCCAAGTAACTATAAGCCCTACCTGGACCAAACTTGCATGGATGATGCATCCAGGGATGGACACTACCACACTTGCTTCAGATGCTGGATCTGACCTAGATTTTCCAGTTGAGTGACCAGGTTAAAGTTTTTGGAGCAGGTCCATTCCCAAGTAACTATAAACCCTATCTTGACCAAACTTGCATGGATGATGCATCTAGGGATGGACACTACCACACTTGCTTCGGATGATGGATCTGACCTAGATTTTCCAGATGAGTGAACAGGTTAAAGTTTTGGAGCAGGTCCATACCCAAGTAACTATTAGCCCTACCTGGACCAAACTTGCATGGATGATGCATCTAGGGATGGACTTTACCACACTTGCTTCGGATGATGGATCCGACCTAGATTTTCCAGTTGAGTGACCAGGTTAAAGTTTTTGGAGCAAGTCCTTTCCCAGGTAATTATAAGCCCTACCTGGACCAAACTTGCAGGGATGATGCATCTAGGGATGGACACTACCACACTTGCTTGGGATGCTGGATTTGATCTAGATTTTCCAGATGAGTGACCAGGTTAAATTTTTAGAGCAGGTCCATTTGCAAGTAACTATAAGCCCTACCTGAACCAAACTTGCATGGATGATGCATCTAGGGATGGACACTACCACACTTGCTTCGGATGCTGGATTCGACCCAGATTTTCCAGATGAGTGACCAGGTTAAAGTTTTTGGAGCAGGTCCATTCCCAATTAACTAGAAAGCTCTACCTTGAACAAACTTGCATGGATGATGCATCTAGGGATGGACACTACCACACTTGCTTCGGATGCTGGATTCGACCTAGATTTTCCACATGAGTGAATTTTAGCCATACTTTAACCAAATTAGCATGGATGATGTAGCTAGGGATGGTCACTTCCAGACTTGCTTTGGATTCTGAATCTGACCTACATTTTCCAGATGAGTGACCAGGATAATTTTTTTGGAGTAGCTTTATAACATTATGGCCTGTTATGATTACGGTAAACTTGCATAGATGGTGCATCTAAGGATGAAAAGTTCCAGACTTACTTTGGATGTTGGAACTGACCAAAATTTTCTTGATTAGTAAACAGGATAAATGTTTTTTGAACAGGTCTATTTCCAAGAAACTATAAGTCATACTTAAACCAAACTTGCATGGACATTGATTTTGGGATGTACACTAAATAAAAAAAAAATATGTGAAATCTGCCTTACTTAAAGATAACATTCGTCGAGGTGAGCTTCGTAATCTTTGATTACATATGTTTTAGGTAGTCAGTGAGAGTCAGACAAATGCCAATCCATTTCTGAGGAGGAAGATCTATCCTATAGATGAAGCTTTACTGGCCACAATCAAATGTATTCCAGGCCTCGGAGGTGTCAAAGCTCGAGCGCTGCTGGAAGGACTTGGAAGTAAGAGATAATATTTCAGACTTAAACATGATTGAATACATTAAAAAAAACTTACTTGGCTTGCATTTGCTACAGATTTATCAGAAAGCAAATCAGCTCGGTTATTTTTATGCACTGTATATAGAAATCACTACTGATACAAAACATTGGTTGAACAAAATACCTATTGATGCTTGTCTGTTTATTCATTGAAGAAAAGAGTTTCTGGAAGTAGTTGATGCTGTTAACAATAAAGTAGCAAACCTCGTACATTGATGTAGGGAGTGTGTAGAAACAAACATTGTTTAGTATGAGACTTAGTGTAGTATGACAGATGCATGGCCTCTTTTTTTCACCAGTCATTTGACAGACCATGATACATTGTAATATATATTTAACATTTTAATGTTAAAGGAATGTGGGGCATCTATATATATATGACATATATATATATATATATATATATATATATATATATATATATATATATATATATATATATATATATATGTAAGAACCTGAGGAGATATTGTCAAATTAAATTAGAGCTACAAGCGTTAATCTCATTTTAAAGTTCTTTTCATAGAAGCGTAACCGTGTGAATATCTGCATATAAGCTTTTTTTAACCTACATACATGTATCATCAGTGATGTGAGCCACTGAACCATTTATTCCCATGAGTGACGTAAAGTGGTAGACAGTCTATGCGTTCACCTGAGTGAAAGTTTCCCGCAAACACCTTGCAGATGTTAATAGAGAATGCACTGAAAAATTCCACATTTTGTGGTCTGAATTTAACTCAATCATTCTTTATTTCTAGGTATTGAAAATATATGCAGCGCTTCAGATCAGGTAGTTTACAGCTTCTTTCTTTTTTTTATGCCCCGCCATGAATATGGCCGGGGCATATAGTGTTTGTCATGTCGGTTTTCTGTCCTTCCGTCTGTCTTTCCATCACACTTTGCCTTTAGCTCTGTTCAAAGCTCAGTTAAAAAAAGAAACTATGCAAGATATTTTTATCAAACTTCATATGCTGATAGATATTGATGAGAGCTATGCAACTGCATCAACATTTTTTGACCTTGACCTTTCATTTGACCTTGACCTCACTTTTCTTAAATTAGTGTTTAGCTCAGTTTTAAAGATACCATTCAAGATAGTGTAATCAAACTTCATATGTTGATACATACTGATGCAAGCTATTCAACTGCATCAACATTTTTTGACCTTGACCTCTCATTTGACCTTGACCTCACTTTTCGATAAATTAATGTTTAGCTCAGTTTTAAAGATACCATTCAAGATAGTGTAATCAAACTTCGTATGTTGATACATACTGATGTAAGCTATTCAACTGCATCAATATTTTTTGACCTTAGCTTTTCCTTTGACCTTGACCTCATTTTTCTTAAATTAGTGTTTAGCTCAGTTTTAATGAAATCATTCAAGATATTTTTTTATCAAACTTCATATGTTGATACATACTGATGTAAGCTTTTCAACTGCATCAAATTTTTTTACCTTGACCTTTCCTTTGATCTTGACCTCATTTTTCTTAAATTAGTGTTTAGCTCAGTTTTAAAGATACCATTCAATACAGTGTTGTCAAACTTCATATGTTAATACATACTGATGAAAGCTATTCAACTGCATCAGCATTTTTTGACCTTGACCATTCCTTTGACCTTGACCTCACGTTTTAGGTCACATGAGTCACTCAGGTGACCTATTGCCATCCGTTTTTGTCCGTCGTCATGCGTTAACATTTAAACATTTTCAGCTTCTTCTCTGAAACCACTCAACCAATTTCAACCAATTTTGGCATATAGCATCTATTGGTGAAGGGGGAGAAAAATTGTGAATTTCATGTTCCCTGCCCCCCTGGGGCCTGAGGGGTGGGGCTAAAACCACCAAAATTAATGCAATCTTTAAAAATCTTCTTTACTCCTGGAAATCAGGCAGTCAAACTGTTGGCATGATTGTAATAAACATTGAGCCCTCTGCCAAAATTGTGAAATTCATAGCTCCAGGGTCAGGGGTTCTGGTGCTAGGGTAGGGCTATATAGATCATATAGTGAAAGTGCATTATTTCTTTGAAAATCTTCTTCTCTGCTCCTGGGTATTAGATAAACTAACTAAGTACATAGTTATGTTGAGCAAGTCTGCTTCTTTCAAAATGGTGAATTTCATGGCCCCTGGGTCAGGGGTTCTGGTGTTAGGGCGGGGCTCTATTGATTATATAGTGAAAATGCATTAATTCTTTGAAAATCTTCTTCTCTGCTCCTGAGTATTAAATAAACTAACTAAGTACATAGTTATGATGAGCATGGCTGCCTCTGCCAAAATGGTGAATTTCATGGCCCCTGGGTCAGGGGTTTCAGGTGTTAGGGTGGGGCTCTATTGATTATATAGTGAAAATGCATTATATCTTTGAAAATCTTCTTCTCTGCTCCAGGGTATTAAATAAGCTAACTAAGTACATAGGTACGATGAGCATGGTTGCCTCTTCCAAAATTGTGAATTTCATGGCCCCAGGGTCAGGGGTTCTGGTGTTAGGGCAGGGCTCTATTGATGATATAGTGAAAATGCATTAAATCTTTGAAAATCTTCTTCTCTGCTCATGGGTATTGAATAAACTAACTAAGCACATAGTTATGATGAGCATGGCTGCCTCTGCCAAAATTGTGAATTTCATGGCCCCAGGGTCAGGGGTTCTGATGTTAGGGTGGGGCTCTATTGATTATATAGTGAAAATTCATAATTTCTTTCAAAATATTTTTTCTGCTACTGGTCATAAAGCAAAGAAACAAGTGTATAGTTATGATGAGCAAGGACACTTTTACAAAATTTTAAAACTTGTGGTCCCAGGGGTTCTGTTGTGTCTCGGGGGGGGGGGGGGGGGGTATTGATAATATAGTGAAAATGGGTGAATTCTAGGGCTGTGTATTGAGCAAAAAAATTGATACGATTCGATACAATATTTTATATTGCGATATTCGATATATTGGATTCTTTAATAAGTCTATCAAAACAGTCTTATAAATCATTTACTGCAAGATTTTTATAAAAACCAATTGTTTAATAATCCATTTCGAAGGGCTTGTCTCACTCTCTCTACAAATTACACTTCAAATTCAAACTTTTAATGACTGTAAAAACAACATGTTAAAATAAAATTGTCTATGTATAATAGTATTTATCTAAGATGTGCTATCTCCTTAATGATTATGTCATTATTGATCAATTCTAATTCAAAACAGTGAAAATATAATGTTTGGTGATTGAAATTCCCAACTTTTTCACAGAATTATGAGAAAATCCGCCTGTCAGATACGTATTGGAAGTTATTTTTTCGATATGATACATTCTTAAATGTCGATACGTATCGATATATCCATATATTGATACAGCCCTAGTGAATTATTTGAAAATCTTCAACTACATGTAATTTGTAAATTTCATGACCCTGAGTCATGCGTTCTGGTGTTAGGGTAGGGCTGTTTTAAATAGTGAAAATGCATTATTTCTTTGAAGATCTTCTCTGCTCCTGAGCATATTGGAGGCAAACAAAGTAAAAGTTTTAATAAGCAAGGGTATTTTTACCAGAATTTTGAACATCTGGACCATTTAGTCAAGTGTTCTGGTCCTGGCCAGGGCTCTATCAATTTGTATTCTACAGAGTGAAGTTAATTCCCTTTGCAATTCACCTTTGATAATTAATCACTGTAGATAATGTATTTGAAAGGTTAATAGAATAAGAGAATTATGCAAGAACATTTATTGTATAATACAAAAAGTACTTTCTTAGTCTAAATGATCAGGTAGACTTGGAAATAATACATGAATAAAAATGAAACAAAAATAACTTATCTTTTTAAATGTTCTTCAGAGGCCAAGTGAGGTCAATGTGACAGGTATTAGACATTTTGTTAAAAGTCTGCATGGTAATAGTAATAAATGAGGGACAGATAGATAGATACTAGAACAATTATTTTGATGATCTTAATTGTACTATTTTTTTTGCTTTTTTCCAACAAAGCTTCATTTATCAGTTTATGGATCCTCTAAATTGTTGTACTCAGGTGACCGTTAAGGCCCTTGGGCCTCTTGTTTTAAATTAGTGTCAAACTTCATATGCTGATACATACTGATTTAAGCTGTTCAACTGCATCAATATTTTTTGACCTTGACCTTTTCTTTGACCTTGACCTCACTTTTCTCAATTTGTGTTTAACTCAGTTTTAAAGAAAACATTCATAATATTTTTATCAAACTTTTGACCTTGACCTTTCCTTTGACCTTAACTTCATTTATTTTAAATTAGTGTTTAGCTCAGTTTTAAATAAACCATTCTAAATATTTTTATCAAGCTTAAATATGCTGATACATATTTGTGAGAAGTATTCAACTGCATCAAAAACATTTGACTTTGAACTTTCCTGTGACCTTGACCTCACTTTTCTTAGATTTGCATTTTGCTTAATTTTAAAGAAACCATTTAAGATATATTTATGTAAGTTTATGCACTTATACATAATTTGGCGAGAATTTATCATCTATATCCAACTTTTTAGATTTCAATTTTAAAGAAACTATTCAAGATTATCTCATCAAATTTCATACACTAATACAAATTTTCATGTTGCATTACTAATATACCCTCGGTGGGGCATTCATTTCCTATGGACATATTTCTAGTTATTTCATGTAATGTACAAAAAATGCCCCACTTAACATTTGAACTTTGAGATATACATGATCAGTCACACACACAGAGAGAGAGAGAGAGAGAGAGAGAGAGAATATAGTAATTTTTTGTAGAAATGTGCAAGGTAAAACATTCCAAAGACAAAGTTTAAGAAAGAGTTATCTCTCTTATTTAAAATTACTATGTACTATAACATTTGTTAAGATTCTGATAGTAATTCAGAAGATTTCAGAATTCTGATTGGTACATTTGTAATTTGGCCAAAAAATTTATCAAAAGGTTTCTGAGAATGCAGAAACTCATGGTCAACCTCACATATGTATCCATCAATGATGAGGGTTTTTACTCAACCTTAAATTTGTATGTAAAAGTTATTTCATTTCAAAAGATCATATGGAAAGATCAGAAGAAAATTCACAGACTGAGATTTTTTATGTGGAAAAAAAAGCCAGAATTAGATGTACTTTAAAGTTTTAACAGTGTGTAACTGTCAGTTGAAATGCATTTGGAATAGTGATCTTTCACAGCTGAATATTAGCGTGAAAGGTTTTAGGATGATAGCAATCCCAACACCTTCACATACCTGCTTAGAAGGGACAGGGTAAATAAGATGGAATCATATGTACTTGACATGTTTTGGTCACAGTCTATCTTCTTACTCCCCCTGTCCGAAGAATATAAACCAGTTTAGATCAAGTGCATGAAGACTTCTAGTTACTAGATATTTATCCTTATTTCGAATTATGAATATCATATTTTCCTTTCTGCATAATTCAGTAATGAAATATATACAGTAATTGATAATGCTATTCATTACTCGACATCAGCGAGTTCCAAAGCCAATAGTGTTTCATTTTCACACTTGCACTCTACATGCTTCCAATCAGATATTAGAGGTCATATTAAAGCAAAGTGAAGGGAGGATATATTTTCAACAGTTTTACTCTTATAGCAGTAGTGCAAATGAAAATTTCACTTTGGAAATGAATTAATTTGGTATTCACATTAATTCTTACAATGTGTAATTTTTGCAGGGGTGAAACTGCTTTTTTCAAATAAAATGTTGTCATATCTTGCTGCTAGAATTTGAATGATTACATTTTTCTTTTGTAGGAACTCTCCTTGATAATAGGCAAAGCTGGTGCTGAGAATGTTAAGAAATTTATCAACAAGAAATGATGATTTCTTTTTTCTACAGAGTGCCTTATTAGCTTACCTGAGCCAAAGGCTTAAGTGAGCTTTTCTGATAGAAGTGTGTTCTGCGTCTGTTTGTTTATTGTGTATTATGTCTGTACTTCTCAAGAATCACTGGATTTTTCAATTTCAACCAAACTTGCCACAAAGCATCCTTGGGTGAAGTTGATTCAAGTTTATTCAAATCATGACTCCCAGGGGTAGGGTGTGGCCACAAAGGGCAAACAAAGGAATAAATAGGCTAATCTTCAAAAAAATGTTCTTCTCAAGGACAGCAAAGCCATGGTTACTCATATTGTTATGGAAGTATCCTCAAGGTACCGTAAGTTCAAGTTTGTTCAAATCATGACCCTTAGTGGGTAGGGTTGGGCCACAAATGGCAATCAAAATTTTACAAAAGAATATATATGTAAATATTTAAAAATCTTCTCAAGAACAGCAAAGCCAAGATAAGTCACATTCATGTGGAAACATCCTCAGGAAGAGTAGAGTAGAAATCATGACCCCCCCCACCCCCCCCCACCCCCACCCAGGAGTAAGGTGGGGCCACAATAGGCAATAACGTTTTAAATAGGAATATGAAGGAAAAAATCTTTACAAATCTTCTTCTCAAGAATAGCAAAGCCATGATTAGTCATATTAATATAGAAGCATCCTCAGGTAGAGTAGATTCAAGTTTGTTCAAATCATGACCCCACAGAGGTAGGGTGGGACCACGATAGGAGATCAAAGTTTTACATAGGAATATATCTGGAAAAAAAAAATGTTGATGAAGAACGGGGGCTATAGTGACTCAGTTGAGCATTGTGGCCCATGGGCATTTTGTTTGTACATGTATATATAAACTTATATGAATAAACATCAACTAGCATATTTTTTAATTGTATGTTTTAAGGATAAATAACACAAGCATATTAAATTTCTTTGTTTTTCAAATACATGTATTGCTGTGAAGTATGTAATGAAATATTCAAAATGAAGAAAAAACTGTATTATGTTAAGTTGATCAAATTATAAGTGTTTGCTGGAGATCTGATACTCTTCTGAAACATGAATTAAGGGCATACGTAATGTAGTTTTGAACTTTATTTTCTTATTCCATTCCATAAGAGTTCCAATAATTGAAGGACTTTTTGCGGTTCTATGATGCCTGGTAATACTGTACACCTCCTCTGAATCAAATTTTGAGGAAATGTCGGCTAAAACTATATTTTGGTTAATTTTTCTTGTAAAAACACAAGGATTTTCATTATTTAATATCTGTTCAAAACTCCTGGTAATGTGTGCTGATTTTCTTCTTGGGCTAAGAACATCTGATAATTTAAAAATAATTATAAGAATGTCTTGGATAATTATCTGGGAAAGGTACATTGTAAAAAAAACATGTGCATGTATGTTGTGTATGACCTTAAAAACTGCTTTGGGCACATATTGCTATTAAATAATAAATAGGTATTATTGGATACTCTATTCTATGGAAGCTTTCTAAAAGGTCCTAAATTTGTCAAATGTATAAATTGGAACTCTTTGAAAGGAGGTAAAAAATAAATGTTTGTGTTATTCATCCTAAGAATAAACATCAAGGTATCTACAGTAAATGAGGGCATTCTTAAGTACTGTAAATCATATATTTATAACCTCCCTCCTCAAAAGTTTTGGAGGGACCTTTCAGTGCAATTATTAAAATGGAGAGACAATGGAAGTTCATACTTGACAAAATGATTGCTTAGGACATAAGGATGTGTCATAACCTTGACGCAAGGTTATTTGGTTAAGTTCAATGTCACTTTTAGTAAAAATTAGGGATGGCAATGACTAATGACTAATCGGTTGGAAAGATTGTAACAGGTTACAATTTTCATAACCAGTTAATTGATAGTTTAATGCAAGTTTAACAAGCATTCTGAGAGTATCGCATTAGCAATACTAGTCCCCTACCGGCAAGTGTAATCTGGTTCCCATAAAAATTGAAAATGCCATAATTTCGTCAAAAATCAATGAAGCGGAACGAAATGCAAACTTGATCTATAACTCATCAAGGTAATGTCACATACCAAAAATCACCTCAATATCTGCAAGCTTTTAGAAGAAAATTGTGGAAAACCATTAAAAATTGAAGAGGTCGTAATTCCGTCAAAAATCAATGAAGCGGAACGAAATGCAAACGTGATCTGTAACTCATCAAGATACACACATACCAAAAATTAGCTCAATATCTGCAAGCGTTTATGAAAAAAGTGCGGAAAACCAAGTGGGACAGACTGACGGACTGACAGACTCAGAGGAAACCTATAGTCCCCTCCGGTTTCACCGGTAGGGGACTAATAAAAATAATTTTATAAAAGTGTGAAAAATAAACATGCATATTCAATAATATTTCCATGTTTTAAAATTAAAACTATTATAAGTAGCATGTTTAAAACTGAAATGCAACAATTGACCAGTTAAATAGTTCATAAGATGCCATTGCTGTCTAAAACATCCCTGCAATTTAATCGTTATACCTGTAAACCTGTATACTATAATTAAAGTTTACATACCCCTGTACAAAAAATTCTATCTGGTTTCAGATGATTAATTGAAAACAACAGATAATTTTCTACCCAGCAGTGTTAAATTGAGTAATTTTCTTGTTTATTAAATCACTGCAAAACTTTGCAATTCATTCAGTGAAATGCAACAGACATTGACAGATTGGGGATATTTTGAGAGAGATCACAACAGCAAATTTTTAAAACGTGTACAAAGACCTAAGACCAAGAAATCACATCAAAAAAACAAGAGGCCCATGGGCCACATCGCTCACCTGAGCACATTAGATAGGCAAAAGCACAAATTAGTATTAAAAAGATTACCGGGGAAAGGGGGGCTTGAATTTTAAACTACCTGATGATGCTTCCATGTCAATTTAACAAATGGCTTTGTTGCACTTGAGAAGATTTTTTAAAAAAAATTTCCCATATATCCCTTTGTAGAAATTTGATCCCCCATTGTGGCTCCTCCCTATCCCAGGGGTCATCATTTGAATAAACTTGAATCTACACTATCAGAGGATGCTTCCATATCAATATGACTAAACATAGTTTTTCTGTTCTTGAGAAGAAATTTTCTTTCTATATGTTCTTATGTAAAACTTTTGATCCCCCGTCGTGGCCCCACCCTACCCCCGGGGGTCATCATTTGAACAAAATTGAATCTACACTACCTGATGATGCTTCCATATCAAAATGACTAAACATGATTTTCTGTTCTTGAGAAGAAGATATTTTCCTATATGTTCCTATGTAAAATTTTTGATCCCCCATTGTGGCCTGATCCTATCTCCAGGGATCATCATTTTAACAAACTTGAATCTACACTACCTGAGGATGCTTCCATATCAAAATGACTAATCATGGCTTTGCAGTTCTTCAGAAGAAGATTTTTTTTCTATGTAAGACTTTGATTCTCAATTGTGGCCCCACCCTACCCCCCGTGGGTCATGATTTGAACAAAATAGAATCTATACCCTTAGGATACTTCCATATAAATATGACCAATTAGGGCTTTGCTGTTCCTGAGAAGAAGATTTATAAAAATTTTCCTATATTTCTATGTAAAATTTTGATCCTCCATTGTGGCCCCACCCTACCCCAGGGGGTCATGATTTGAATAAATTGAATCTACACTACCTGAGGATGCTTCCATATAAATATAACCAATCAGGGCTTTGCTGTTCTTGAGAAGAAGATTTTTGAAGATTTTTCCTATATATTTTTATGTAAAACTTTGATCCTCCATTGTGGTCCCGCCCTACCCCAGGGGGTCATGATTTGAACAAACTTAAATCTACACTACCTGAAGATGTTTCCATATAAATATGACTCATCATGGCTTTGCTGTTTTTGAGAAGAAGATTCTTAAAGATTTTTCCTTTATATTTCTATGTAAAACTTTGATCCTCCATTGTGGCCCCACCATACCCCCAGGGGTCATGATTTGAACAATCTTAAATCTACACTACCTGAAGATGCTTCCATATAAATATGACTCATCATGGCTTTGCTGTTTTTGAGAAGAAGATTCTTAAAGATTTTTTCTATATATTTCTATGTAAAACTTTGATCCTCCATTGTGGCCCCACCCTACCCCTGGGGGTCATGATTTGAATAAACCTGAATCTTCACTACATGGGGGTGGGGGGGGGGGGGCAGGAATTGTGCAGAGTTATAAAAAGTATATACTGAAGCAAATAAAAAATGACTTTGTACCCCCCCTGGAAAATGTGGACACCACCATGAAATAGGTGTTTTTCATGTTTGGAAAATGGATTTTACCTTCTTTTTTTTTTTTGCTTGTCAAGAAATTTTTGGGTTAGAATTTTTTTTGACTGGGATGGAACCCCCCCCCCCCTCGAAAAAATTCCTGGATCCGCGCCTGTAGTTTATGTCTGTGTTCAGATACACCACCCACCCACCCCCCTTTCAGTGGTGACATGATGCATGTAATTGTGCAAAATTTGAACAACTTTCAATTTTATCTATAAAGTATCTAGCGATTCCTGGAACAGCTATGCCATCATAGCAATTTCTAGAGTTCTTAGTCATATTTAATTAACAGTGGTCAATGAATCATTTTTTTTAAAAGTAAGAATAGCAGTGAAGAAGAGAAATTGATGTGAATGAAAACATGGTTTGACTCTGTTTGTAAAAAAAATAGTGAAGAAAACTTTTGCAGGACATCTAGCAAACATGATTATAAAGCGTATTTAGCCCTTTACCAAAATTGTAAAATTTGTGGCCCTAGGGTCCATTCTGATCCCAGAGTGGGCTTAATTGGTCATGTATCAAAAATAAATTATAACATGATGCCATTTGAAAATCTTATTTTTCTGTATGCACGGTGGCAGTAAGCAAAGATTTTTTGAATATTTTTCAGTGAAAAAAAAAACTCAATTGACCACATGTGACAACCAATGGTGCCCAAGTGAGTGACCATGAAATCTGTTTTAAATTTACTTGAGACTGAATTTATAATGTCTGTAAATGATGTTTTACTTATGCATGCTCACATACTGTTTTGATTCTTAAGTCACCAGGGTTGTTGCTAATAACTGCATTTTAATTAACTTTACTTCTCTTTTTCCTGTAAAAGTCACCATTTTTTTGCTTAGATTTAATTAGAACAAAAATATTTGTATGTCATGTTTTTTTTAATTCTCTTTTGAAATAAAGGCAAAGTTACTGGCCAAATTATTTCAAATTTAATGATCATTATTTTGTCTATCAAAGAAAACAGAATTATTCAATCAGTTTAAAAGAACGCTGCTGCTGATATCATGTCATGTCTGGTTCAGCTTCTGTCTCCTTAAATTGCAGACTTGTTATCTAAAAAAAATTCAAAGGAAAATTTCCAAACATGTACCAAAGTATTTCAACCAGTTAGCTACAGTCTCATCAAAAATTAAATAAGAAATAAAATGATATGTCCTTTATGTTGTATCCTAGAATCTCGATAGATTTCAAGATTTAGAGCAGAGAGGTATTGTGTCAATTAACAAATACATTTATTTAAGATTTTTTTTCTTGTAGCCATGTGCAAAAAGTAGCACCTGATATACATATATTCAAATTGTGCTGAAGTACATATAACCATTTCAGTCATTGAAAACGTAGTGGATTGGAAGTTCTCAGTTTGGAAGTTTATGATACGCCAGTCAAATATTGTTCATTTATCATAAACAGATCAGAGTGCAAGGAAGAAAATCATGTCATCCTTGGTACAAAACTTAAAAATATGGTATATTATACAATATCAAATAAATTTTTAAAAATTGCTACAAAATTAATTTTGAAAGTAAAGGCTAGCTAATAAGAACTTTTTAATTTATCT